CGCCGCCAGCCATTTTTGTGTTTTCTTCGCTCTATAAGCTGGCGCCAAATCTTGTTGGAATACCCAGTGCCTGTTATTGAACATGGTATGAGAAACAGGTTCCACAAGGTTCGTCAGGACTGTATTTAAATACACAACTGCATTCGTTTTTACACCTTTCTCTAAGTTAAGCCCCAATAAGAAACTCCCAACCATACCATGAGCGAGGATGGAAAATGACCTGGTTGGACACGCGGAATACGGTTGCTCGCTTCTTCACTACTGTGTGCGTACACCTTATCATTTTGTTTGTTGTAGCTCTCTTCTACGCTAAAAATTTTTTCATCCGAAAAAATAAAATCCCGATGTACTCTTCCCGCGTACCGCTTCAACAAAGCGCGGCATCTCTTCAGTCTCAGATCCATTAGACGAGCATTCAAACGATGTCCTGTTTTTCTTCGATATACCCGAAGCCCTAAGTCTTCATTTAACACCCTTTTCACCGTGGTTCTGCTTAACCCCATCTGAAGGGCCAACAGTTTGGGATTTCTTTGAATTCGCGCCCTCACAGCTTTTATCACTGCTGGAGTCCTAACAGACCGAGGGCGACCACTTCTTGACCTGTCATCTACACTAGAGTTTTCATTGTATCGTTTGATGGTACGATAAACGAATCTTTTGGTTATATTAAAATTTTTCAGTATGTCAAAATTTTGAATTGGCGCGTAACCGCAACGATGCAACGCAATAACTGCAACACGGTCTTCTTTAAGCGTCCACTCCATATTTAAAAATGAGTAAAATTCTAAAAAGTTTACATTTTTATTTTCATGAACAATTCGAAATTCGAATTCAATAAACTTTTTTGTGGCCAGCATTATAAGAGAAAAGTTTTTACAGTGTGACAACACTTATGACCTCACTGTGTCCTTTCCTTTACAAAAATATTAACTGTTAATTCGTTACGACTTATGCGTGTTAGTCAACATGAGTTTTTCCCGTCCGTTACGTAATTCATTTGGGTAGGTACGCAATCTAATGTTATCAAAATTATTGTAATGGTACCAGGAAAAAAAACGTAATATTTTATTTTAACATTATGCCATATTTAGTTCCTATCGCAATCTGTTCTTTATTGCATATTACTTTTACAAAATAATGTCGATGTTTCACATCTGCCAGGAGTCCCGTGACTGCTCACATATTTTTCATTATATCACTAACAACAAATTTTCAACACTGTACAAATATAAATTTGTTTATTTGATTATACGTTTGTGAGAGTAATTTTCGTTCAGAAATAGGCAATTGAGTGAGTACATATTCATACATAAACGCTAAAGTTGTTTAAAAGTATTTTCTGCAATTCTTAAATTCCCATTAATGGTCAGGGCATTCGCCCGGATAGCGAAGGATGCGGATTCAAGTCCCGTCTGCTGCCTGGGTTCTCGTGGATTTTTTCCTTGTATACATTTTTTTTAGATTTAAACATCTAGCAGTTAAATGCTTAAATAAAACTATGCTTAAGTATTTTTACCAAAATACTTTTTTTTCAATTGGTATTTATCATACGCTTGGTTATTAAAATATTTGCCTACATAATTCTTGGATACGTTTCGGATGTTTTCAGGCGGAGCAACAAAATTGCTTACTTGACTAATGATGTGTCTGATGTTCATGTTGCTAATAACAAGAGTTTCGCTTAAACACAGGTATAAATTGTATAATGTTATAAAGCGAAGACTATAAGGTGAAATTCAATCGTATGTTTGGGGGCTTTCGGAAGACTTACGTGAAACCAGATTTGGTTACTTGTAATCGTGTATATCCCAATACACACTGTTCTATGGCAGACTTGCTCTGCGAATGTCGATCTTATTGATATATAACAAAAGGTGCTGTTGATATGCAACTAGGTAATCCGTTAACATGGTCTTTGCTCTATTAAGAGAATCGAAATTCAGAAAATCCATTTAATGTATTTAATAGATTGATTATCTTTATGTAAGCAGTTAAAGTTTACGGTAACGTTTCTGCTGTTCTTGTTGGAATATGTATTATCTTAATAAATAATAAACAATAAGTGTATAAAATAACTGTGTTATAGCTTGAGAAAAATTTTAGCAGAAAAATTTTCACGCGGTCCAGGTAGCAGACGGGACTCGAACCCGCACCCGGTTTTTTTTATAGATAAGGCCGAAAAATGACTCCACCCCACCTGATGTTAAGTGAAGGTGAAGTCCAGACGCGAAGATAGCTGATACAGCAGTTCTACCTGCCACACCAGCCATCCTCACCCTGCCGGCCTGCATGTTGCTTCTTCACGCCTGTTTTAAAGGCTCCCAGGTTGAAAGAGGAAGGGAACACGTGAGCGGGCAGAGCATTCCATTTACGGATAGTGCGACAAAGAAATGAGTCACCACATTTCTTTGTACGCGTTGGAATTGTGGCCACAGTTAGATGGTAACAACGTAGGCCAGCGCGCGTGGTCTTCTGAAGGAAAGGGGAAGGTGGAATAAGAGAGAATATCTCCTCAGAACACTCGCCGCGGTACAGACGATAGAACGCGCTTAGTGACGCCACGTCATGTCACGGCGTAATTGAAGAGGCTCGAAATGTTTAGCCACCTCATCGCCTATGTTGCGGATCGCGCGCCGCTGTAACCTATCGAAAGCAAGTACTTGGCGGAGCCATCCCAGAGATGCGGGCAATATTCCACGCAAGACCGCACCTGCGTCTTATACAACAAGCACAGTTGCTCGGGCGTGAAAAAATGCCGCATCTTGTTCAGGACTCCGAGTTTGCGTGAGGCCATTTTTATCACACCTTCGATGTAATTCTTTGAATTTAAGTCACAGCGAATCTCCATATCGAGCATGGTGATGCTGCTCTCTAGCTCCAGTGTTGTGCCCTGAAGAGAGGGAAGGGGAAGGAAGCTTTACCATCAGTTGGGGCTTATGCTTGGTCAGCACCCATTTTCATTAAAAAATAAACATTTATCTTTCTTTCTTCACTGCTAAAACGCGTTCTGAACGTTAGGAAACTTTTTGGACTATTCAAGAGTTACCAAATACTTCCAATGCTAATGATCATAAAACTATATTTATGAGTGAGTCATATTTTAATTTCTAAAACGCAAAGTAATCTGGCGAATACGTATAATATAATTAGAACGATAAAAACAATAACTCAGAAAGTTCACAGACTGCCCTCCTGACCTTCTATACCTAAAGTATTTCGTAGTACCTTCCACTATCAAATTAGTGAAAGTGATGTGCCACAAATAATTAAATTTGGAGCGGTCTGCGGTGACCGAAATCAAATATGTAGCTACTTCGCGCTGACGCAACAATAGATTGCTAATCACACGATAATTTTAATTACTAAATTTAACAATTTAATCTACTTATTCATATATTTATTATTTTTTCATTTATTTGCTACGTAATATACTATAATATAATATAAATTGTTATGACAGATAACTCATAATATCTGCTTTTTTAGGTAAATTACAATGTTGTTCGCAATACTTTTACAAGTATATTTCAAATTCAAAGCAAAAACAGCAATTATATTTTTATATAACCCAAAATCACTGTAATTTAGAGCTCAAAAACAATCCTTCAACAGTCCTTTCAATTAATATAATGGCGCGAGTACACTTGGTCGCTAGAACGAATACGAGTGCCAACGGAATTCGGTTAAACGACTAAGTGTTAATGATCGGAGTCGACTACTCATGTATTCGGGAAGATTTCCTTTTGTTTACACGACACCGTCTCCCAGCCCGTATTCCAGTGTAAATATTGCTTCGGGTGCCCGAATTTGAGTTGTCTTTCGTGCACCCGAATTAGGCTTGCCAGATGGCCAGGAAATCCGGGATTGTCCCGAAATTTTGCGTCTTTCCCGTGTCCACTAATTAGACCACATTGTCCCGGATTCCGATAATGTGCTAGTTTCGTAACAAAATAAACTAATAACGAATGACATCGCTGGCCTGCTTGATGTTTTAATTCTGGAGGGTGATTTGATGATTTATGTTTTCTACTTATGGTATTCGGGTTAGGGTTGTATATGGCAACCCTAACCCGAATACCTACGGGCTAATGACCAAATGTAATTGCGGCATAACGCTTTATTATTAAGCTTTATTTCTTTCATTAACGTTTCTAGCTGAATGCTTTACGTAATAGTTTTTTTTTTCTTGTTATAGAAACACAGTTTATCTACTACAACATCCGGGAAGTTATTAAAAAGCAGAAATTAATATGAATATTATAAACGCTCTACTATCACTAGCTCACAGATTCGTCTGTGTCACATAATATTGTTATACTCGTAACACTCGAAATTAGGTTCACTTGCAGCAATTTTGCTAAATCTGAATTTAGCCAAAAGTAGATATAGTTTAAACAATGATGTCAAATTGATGACATTGACATTTTGATACTTTTCTATTAGACTACAGGCCCGTGTCAAAAATTGATGGGTCATTTGAACCACCAGAAGACCTATTTAGAAAGACAAAAAGACATTAAATCATAAGATTTCGCACTATACTACGTGTTTTCTTATTAATTTTCATGGACCTATCGATGGTAAGAATGCCGTTCAAAAATATATGACCAAAATGTACTCCCTCTATCTTTACTTTGAATTCTCACCTGCACTCGGTTGGACAGCTTACCAGTGACGGCATAGTGTTGATCTTATTATTTAATGTCCTTCTATCTTTCTAAATAGGTCTGTCTTCTGGTGGTTCAAATGACCCATCAATTTTTGACACGGGACTGTAGTCTATATGGGATATATCTTATTTTAGTTGAATCGAGATTTATCAAAATTATTGCAAGTCGACCTCTCGTCGTAAAGCTCTAAACACTCATGACAAAATTTTGGATTATGAATTCCTACTGTTCCTCTGTTGTTTGTTCGTTATTGGTAACCATTCATATTTATAGAACTAAAGTCATTCGTTTTGTTGACATAACTTTTTTATGTTTTCTTTTATGAACCAGGACTGTACATTTTTTACTAGGAAAGAAATACTCAGGTAAGTAAGTATTATTGTTTTATGTATGAAAATATCAATTTTTCAACTTAGTTAACACAACTCATTTGAAAATTGTACTTTGGTTAATTGTAATCTACGAACAAAATTCTGACATGCTACGATGTATCAAAATTGAAAATTCGGTATTGCAAGTTTTGCATGCATGCAATAGCCATTTTTCTATAACCTTTTTAAGTAAAAACCTGTTCTTTCTTTGTAACATGAAAGATGGACGGAATCAATTTACGTAAAGACAATCTAAATAATTTAAATCAACAGACTGATGTATTTCGTTTTCTACTTCTGTATCACAGTTACATATTTAAACTGTTACGCTGTTATTTGATGACAAAACTGTAACTGATTCTTTACGAAAAAAATCAACTAAGTAATAGACCTCTCGTAGCCTGTAGTGTACAAATATATTTTAGCTCAAAACAGTTACTTTCGTGAATTGAATAAATAATTAAAATAATCGTTATAATATTCCTATGTATGAATAAGATATGACGGAAGCCACCACAAGTTTATCATCAAAGATTATAGCGTGTCGCGTTGGTCGCGATTAAGTTCCTGCGACCGGTTCTATCTAGTAATAGTAAGCCGATTTACCTGTGACTGTGACGCACTCCTTGGATTAGGGCCGCTCCTGGCTGCGGCCACACGTGAATTGGAACGTGATATACAAAGGTTCGTTATTTAAACACGCACTCCAGTCAAAACTCTTTAGAATAAAAAAAAATATTCGAAAGACTGTAACCTCTTTTATGCAAAATAAGGACAAATTATCTCAGGAGGTTTCCAAATTATCTACAGTATTAGCAATTCTTTTTTTTTTAGGTTTAACGCGAACGTGATAAACAACGGTTCGACATTTAAGCACGCACTCCAATCAAAACTCTTTCGAGAAAAGCTTGAAAGACTGACGTACGCATTTTGTGTATATTAATAAGGACAAATTGTGTGAAGAGGTTTTCAAATTATATGGAGGTAGAAATTCATGGACACAGAATTTAGCTACACATTCCTGTTACACACAATCATACCTCCTGAGCTTTGATAGATGTGATTAGGTATTTGAAAATATGTACATTGTTGAGTTAAATTTTAATTACATCGTTTCACTTAAGGTAAATTGTTAAAAACCAGTTAATCATTAAAAACGACATCGGGCGTGCTGTTGCTTATAACTTTCTTTTGCATACCATTGGTTTAAAGATTTTTATTTTCGTTTACAGAGTTTTCAAACGATTTCGGGAAGTGAATCGGGATCTAGTCCCAAAGCGTATGACAGAGAACCAGGCCCACACCATAGCAGTGCCAGTGGAGGAGATAGAAAAACTACCAGAACTAAAGGTACATTTTCTAATACTTGTAAATTATTTTATAATACTTGTAGTATGATAGTAAAAAACATAGTATCTTATACCCGCCATACACACTACGAGAAATCGTTACGATCAGACTGTACAGTTCGAACGGTACAGTTTATACGATTTCGTTTAGTATAGGAAACTGTGCAGTTTTATAACATACACGCTACGATTTATCGGTACCGTTCGGACTGTACAGTCTAATCGTAACGATTTCTCGTAGTGTGTATGGGGGGTATTACGATTTTTACCAAAGGCTAATAGAGAATAGAGGTGAGTCATTACCTTTCGGTTTCGAGTACACTACTACTGTTTTTTTTTAATTATCGATTATTGTAGGTAAATGTCTGCGTTTCGTTTTAAGTTTTTCTACACAAAGTTTAATTTAACTGTTAAACATAGTTGTGGTCCAAAGCAAAATTTAGGAACTTGAATATAATGTTACATCTTTATCTATACTTATAATAAATCTGTAGAGAGGTCAATTCTGTACATGAAATATATTTTCAAAATAACTATCAGGGGATGATTAGTGATCGATACTGATGCCAAAAATGCAATCAGTAAAATTTTTGTCTGTGTGTATGTTCCTTATAGAAACAAAAACTACTCGACAGATTTTAACGAAACTTAGTACAATTATTCTTCATACTCCTGGGCAGGTTATAGTATACTTTTCATCACGCTACAATCAATAGGAGCAGAGTAGTGAAGGGAAATGTTGGAAAAACGGGAGAAGTTACTCCATTTTTTAAGCTTCCGTCGCGTGTGCAGCGTTAATGGTTAAAGTTACATAGAAATCATGTATGACCGAAATATTCTACATAAAATTGTCTAAAAAATATCCCGCAACAGTATATGTCTATCTTTTATGGTTGACTCACAATAACACGTGTAATTATATAAATAAAGTCATTGTTTATAACACAAGCCTGAGAACAAAAACTATACACCACAGCTCTACACCGAAGCGAAGCGAGGGCGGGCCACTAGTAATTAGTAATTACTATATGTGCCAACGCGGCTACGTGAGTGAAGCCCTAGATGACAATCTGGGTCAGGAGCGATTTTAATTGTAGATATTCCAGCGGTATAGAATTAGGGACAAAAGGAGATGATGACAACAAGCCAAAGGTACTCACAGAAAGTATCCTGTCAGCACGCTTTCCGTTGAGGCACGAGGTAGATTTTGAGGTCAGGGCTTAATGGGGTTAAACTATCAAGTGTACACTCCACTCACAAACAAAGCACTCGTGTATATATTAGTCGATTTATAATGTACTAGAGGTCGCCCGCTACTTCGTCTGCGTTGACTTAGTTTCCTGAAAATCCCTATGGAACCTAACATTTTTCGGGATAAAAGTAGCCTATGTGTGAATCTAAGGTGTCAGCTAACTCCATACGAAATTTTATTAAAATCGCTCCAGCCGTTTAGACGTGAAGAAGTAACAAACATACACACTCACATACTCACACACTCACAAACTTTCGCATTTATAATATTAGTGTGATTAGAATCATATATCGTTCACATACTTAGAATGTAATCTCCGTTTACGTACTTGCGATTCTGGCCAGAGCCAGGCGAAACTTTTCGATAATACCACGGTAATATAATATTACCGTGATAATACCCTTCGTGTGTCGGGGTAGTTCCGAATTGACCTTAGCAAGCTGTCGATTATCTTCTCAGGTGGGAATATTCGAAATTCAACCCGCTACGAAACGATTGAAACCCGCGTGAGGACCGAACACTATATTTTAACTATTAAACTGTTTGATCTATAAATCTAAAGAAAATTGCGCAAGAAAAATAAATCCAGGTTTCAGCCTGGATTATCTTTCTTGTGTTACATCCACGTTACACTTTTAATGTGTAACTACAACTCATAACGCAAATTAAGTTTTTTTTTATTTATATTCCCTGAAATAACTTTTCGCCCTTTGTTAGAATAATTAACTATGAAAATTCAATTGTTCTTTTACAGGAAAACCCATTCAAAAGACGCATATGCCAAGTTTTCTCCCACGATGGCTCCGGCAACCTCACGTTCGAGGATTTCCTCGACATGATGTCGGTGTTCAGCGAGGCAGCACCCAGAGACATAAAAGCCTGGTATGTTGATGGTTCCTTTACCAAGTGGTCTGACGACATCAAGTAGGTCAGGGTAACCCACTGGATGGGGAAGTGTAGGGCCGTTGTATGTCCGTGGTAGAATCCCTAACGGGGACCCCTCGGCTCCGCACTAAGCAGTGTAGAAGGTATTCGCAGGACTTTTTTAGCGGATATTATGCTGTAAAGCGTCCGTAATTAAGAGTTGCGGGGTTCTCGGTGGGTAGCCACTGGGGGGTCCGTATGACTTGCGGGAGCCAGGTATGAGGTCCGTTCGGTGGTGTACCTCTTTAAGGCGCCGTCGTCTCAAAAGATTGTTTACCTGCGTTATAAAAAAAAGGGCCGTTGTATGTGGGAATCCCTAGATGATGCCTACATCTAACAGTCCATCGGCTGCTGATGATGACGTTGATGGAGGTACACTATGAAGTACCTATGAATGAACCTAGCTAGCCGCTGGCGACTTCGTCTGTGTTAACTTTGATTTTTTGAGAATCCCACAGGAACTTAACATTTTTCTGGCATAAAAAGTATTCTATATCTCAATCCTTGTCATTAACTATATGCGTACCAAATTTCATCCAAATCCGTTCAGTAGTTTTTTTGCATGATTGAGTAACAAACATACAAAATTTCACATATACAATTTTTGTAGGATGTTTTCACGCACACCAATCAGATCCTTTGCAGGCTCCGTGGTCGCATGACTATCGAGCCGTAGGCGACCGCGGAGCTTGGAAGTCAGGAATAATTCAAAGCAAATCGCAAATGCATCACAACTATGCCCCAAAAACTATTGACGTCTTCTCTTACGATCCTATCGTTAAACTTACAAAATGCAAAGAGACACGCGTGTCGTTGAAAATCATCAAAGACTTACTGTCGCCAGGTACGCTTTCCGAATATACGACCTCGACGATGACATGTACATAGGCCGCGAAGACCTGCTGGAAGCCACCAGGCTGCTGACGCGGGGAGAGCTGCACCCCCAGGAGCGCGACGAGATCGTGGCCAGCGTGCTGGACGAGGCGGACGTCGACGGAGACGGCCGCCTCTCCTTCATGGACTTCGAGCACGTGGTCGTCAGAGCGCCGGACTTCTTGTCCACCTTCCACATAAGGGTGTGACTGTTAGGATTAAAGTTTAACGTTTTGTATCAGTTTTCGTTTTATTCTTTGAAATCAGTTCTCGTGCCGGTTTAGCGTCAGCAGCCTTATACACAACAGGGGCAAAAGTCAAATTTTCTTGAAATAAGTACTTAATTTAAGCTTGAAGTTCACTAGATATCTCCATCGCAAGGTGTTCTTATCAAATAAACGACTTGGATGATGATATGAACATAGGCCGTGAAGACCTGCTGGAAGCCACCAGGCTGCTGACGCGGGGAAAGCTGCACCCCCAGGAGCGGGACGAGATCGTAGCTAGCGTGCTGGACGAGGCGGACGTCGACGGAGACGGCCGCCTCTCCTTCATGGACTTCGAGCACGTGGTCGTCAGAGCGCCAGACTTCTTGTCCACCTTCCACATAAGGGTGTGACCATTAGGAATAAAGTGTAACATTTCATATCAGTTTTCGTTTTATTCTTTGAAATCGGTTCTCGTGTCCGTTTAGAGTCAGCAGCCTTATACACAACAGGAGCAAAAGTCAAATTTTCTTGAAATAAGTAATTTAAGCTTGAAGATCACTAATTATCACTTTTGCCAGGTGTTCTTATTAAATAAACGACTTGGATGATGACATGTACATAGGCCGTGAAGAGCTGATGGAAGCCACCAGGCTGAATACGCGGGGAAAGCTGCAGCCCCAGGAGTGCGACGAGATCTTGGCCAGCGTGCTGAAGGAGGCGGACGTCGACTAGGAAACTAGGTTTCTTAAAATAAATTTGTAATTTAAAATATTGTTTATTGTAGTTTGGCATGTAGCATACCTTTGACATATGCATAAGGTAGGCGCACTACCTTAATAAGTACATAAAAAATCGCAAATTACCAAAAATTTATCACTCTAGTGTGTCCTGACACCAGTTTTGTAGAAATAATGTTAAATAACTTTTTTTTTCTATTACCTAAATTTGTTACCTAAATTGTAATTTATTTAATAATTGTAATTTATTACCTAAATGGCAAAGTGTTTATAGATTAAATAAACAACGGTGTTTTAATGAATGAAATTAATTTTACTAAAATACTAATTAGTTATGCGTCAATACCAAAAGAAAGAAGTGTCCGACGTTTCTAGTTGATTACTCTGGAACGACATGAAATTGTTTGCCCAGCCCCAGTCTATGACGTGTTTAGCGTTAGCAGCCTTATCACAATAAGTGTTCGGGGTATCAGCCTGCGTGGGGTTTTAATGGAGAAATACACTGTTTAAACTGTTAAATATTTTATTTTGCTGGACACAACGTTCACTTATATTTAGAAATGTTCAATTAAAGTCAAAGGAATGAGTATAAAAATGTTATTGTTAAAACTATCTTAATATGTAATTAACTGTTATAAAAATGTTCCGAATTTATAAATAAATAAATAAATAAATATTTCCAACACTCACACCAATTAGCCTAGCCCCAAAGTAAGCAGTGTAAGGCTTGTGTTATGGGATACTAGGGTAACGGATAGAATACATATACATTACATATATAAGTATATTTATATAGAAATACATATTAAACATCCATGACTGGAGTACAAATGCTCGTATTCATCACACAAACATCTGCCCCCACCGGGATTCGAACCCGGGACCTCTCGAGTCGGCGACGCCATGAAACCCGGCGTACAAACCACTCGGCCACGGAGGTCGTCGAATTTATGTTATAATGTTAACGAGTACAACTGATAGCTACCGCGAAATGTATTGCACTGAAGTGTTAAAGTGCACGGCTGACTATGGCCCAGTTACCGCGAGCCGACCCGTGCGTCATCCTAATATGTCGCAATACCTTAGTGTTCGGTTTTGAACCGAACAATAAGAACAAAACTAATTTTCTTAAAACTAGTAATTTAAGCTTGAAGTCATACGGCTGTTTAACTGTCTGTCAGACAGAACATATTAACCTGCGACGGGGAGTGCGACAAGGTGATGTTATATCACTAAAACTGTTCACTAACGTATTGGAAGTTCAAGTTATTGGACTGAAAAGACCACGGCATCAACATAAACGGTAAACTAATTTCTGATGTATGAAATGCTGGACAGCTTGGCTGTTACAATTTCAAAAATGCAGATAAAGTGACAGAGGAAAGTCCTAAAAATTATAATAATTACTTATATTTCTTTCTGCTACTACTTATTTTTATTGCAAATAGCAATAAAATATTTTGAGACAGACCCGATGTATAGAGGCACAAATCCCAAAATTTTATCACGTTTGAAATTTTAGCATTCATAATATTAACTATGGATATGGATATTAAATATGGATTTCGTCCTGTTTTATAAACCCAGAAAATCACTTTGTAAAAAACGGGATAAGCTACCGCTGTAAAATTAAGAGGTTTTATTGAATGTTGATAAGTTAATAACAATAGCTTCAAACTCTTAGCACGAGACTATTAAATAATTATTATTTTAGATTACGCTTCTGATGGTCGGAAATTCGGTGATTAAGTAAGTACAGTACCTCTAGCACGAACCAATATCGAATTCGTACAGTTTGCGAGTCCGAAATGTCATTGTCAAATTTTGTATGGAAACTTGAACAGCAGCGCCACTTTGGACGTAACGGGAACTAAAAATCAGTACACATTTTACAATGACATTTCGGACTCGCAAACACTACGAATTCGATTTTTGATACCACTGAAAGTTGAATATTATGATCTGCCATAGTGTCCCAGACACTTATGGTAGAGAATAATTTTTATTCATTTTTTCTACTTACCAATTACTGTAGTATTGATCACTCTGAATGTCTTATTCCACTTTTCAATAGAATAGAAATTATTTATTATCACGGCTTTTTTTTATACCAACGATTTTCCTGTTATGAATTAGTTTCTTTGGTTTGCCTATTTTTCTTTCTCCTCGTGTGTTTGACATCCATTGATAGCGTAATATCGTCATTCAATAGGCTTTATTAACTTGATTAAACAGGACAAACATCATTAATATTATTTATATTTAGTGTCTATTCATATACGGCTATTGTGTGCATGTGCCGTGTATTTGACAGCTTATTGTGATATTGGCTAATGCCAGGGTATATAACAAGAAGTTGTGCGTCTGGTACATAATACATAATTATATTATGTTTTGTTAGCTACCCTTTATTTTTTTTTTATTTTATTATTATTTATTACGATAGCTACACAAATGTGTAATCTATTATGTGATTTATTATCTAAATTTTTTCAGTAATAATTCATATCATTACTGAAAAACGCGCCTTAGAAAATATGTAAAATAAAATATACCTAACTCAAAAAGTACCGCCCCGCCGCGACAGTGCACCACTGCCGTGACCAGGATTCGAACCTGGGTTACTACGGCCACAACGTAGGGTCCTAACCACTAGACGATCACGGCTACCGGGGCTATACATTTAGTGGCGAAGATAAGTAACGCTTACCAGTTACTGGTAACTGTAACACTTTCACCGCTATTTTGTAACTCATTCAACTGGAGCGCACAAATAGTGTAATTGTAGCTCTTGGCGAATGAATCGGGACGTGACGCGACGGACGTTGTTGAAACGCTTGCTGTAAGTAAAGTGCGTTTGACGACGTCCATGGCCGTACAAAAGTACGCCGGGTTTCAACGCCGCCTATTCGAGAGATTCCGGGATCGAATCCCATTTGTACTCCAGTCATGGATGTTTAATATGTATTTCTATACATAAATATACTTATATATGTATCAGTATATATATTCTATCCGTTACCCTAGTATCCCATAACACAAGCCTACAGTGCTTATTTTGTTTCTAGACAAATTGGTGTATGTTATAAAAAAAAAAAGTTATTTTTCTTTGGCAAAAGGATAACCATGTGAAGTGCTTCTATAAGCTGCTATCGTAGCATAAAAGATTAACATCACATGAGGCGCGTAAAGCGAAATGACAACCATTTTTATTACCCTATAGCCTAGATCCCGAGAAGCAGGGGCCTATTTGCCCTAGGTCTAAGAGGGCGGCCGCAAAATCTGCGATGGGCGGCAAAAGCTATACAAAGGCATTCGTTACTGACCTATATTACAAATTCTAAGGCGTTCAAATCGTAAAGATTTTCCTCGCCTGCCCAGGAGACCTGAAAACTTGACTCATCTACAGAAAAAACTTTGTTAAAATCTAGACTTATTCAGTTCTATCTTCATTAAGTGTCGCCGCACACGGGCCACCGACCACAACCACAAAACGCCGCCACCGGCACATTTCTTGTAGTTTTCATACATTTTATATGGACTAGCCACACACGGTACGCCGGTGGCCGCCACACGCTACAAATCGACGTTGCTCGCTTCTTGTGGTCCGCACCGGTCACATAATGCGCCGATACAAAACGCAGCCACACGTCACTCGCGCGATTCCCCACCCCTCTTCTCTCTCATTCACTTTAGTAGCCGCTTCTAGCTTCTCGTGGTGGCGTTTGTGGCTGTGGCGTGTGGCCCGTGTGCAGCGACACTAAGGTAAGGTAGAGGTTACTGTCTAGATAGATGCTGGGATTAAAATTTTGTTATGGTTGCATCTCTGTGAGTTTGTTTTAAAAATCAAACTAACATAGAAGAGTTCTTCCGAAAGAATACCTAAAAGCTTTGTTTAAAAAGCATTGTTAAGCTAATCCAGCTTATCCACTCGTGAACTTAGTCTGCATCCATTTCGTAGCAATCAGTAAATACCCATTTTACTAGCTTTTAAAGTGCTACCAATTTATGGAGTGAATAAAAATCAGCGCAGTTAATTTTCAAGAGTATCTTCCATAAATAAATTTTATTAAATAGAGTTGCGGTGGTGTCGTATCAAATCAAGAAACGAATGTTATACTTAACACCAATAATTGAAACCCCGAATCACTTTATCTCTAAAGAACATTTTTCCTAATATTTGTTTTATTTTTATTTTTTATTTATAAGATTTGTAGCCCGAATGCACGCTATCCCTAATAACTTTAGACCTATAACACTGTTTACCTAATATTTCGATCCCGAATGCACGTTATCCCTAATAACTTTAGAATTGTTATTATTTTTCTGGGGCTTCGCCGGCCGCTGCCGCCGGATGGTCACAACACTAACCTAACCGTAGCTAGTGTGAAGTATCACCACATGGGCACTGGAAGTACAGTTTAGCTCGTTTCAAAGTTATTCATATTCTATGTCACTATTTGGGTAACAAGCCATTTTGTGCCAATTTCATCCTTAATCTGATTCTATTAGTTCGATTTCTTTCGCCATAAAATTAAAGAAACTGTCATTATGAGCAATTACTGTGACAAAGTGCACACAAACATTGGACCGTGACTCACATTAATATTGAACTGTACTGTACTTACAGAGTAACCAGCATTAATTTGCAGAAGACTCGACGACTTTAACGAGCTTTTACCACATATAAAACACACAGAAGGTAATCTTCATACAAAGTGCGCTAGAGCAACGCATACAATATAGACACCGCTCACGCATACGATATCTCGGACCACTTAAGACCGGTGTGAGAGCGCGCGAGTTCCATCCGCTCCAGATACGAATCTGTGTACACTTTTGTGCCATTATGGAGTAACAAAAAAATACATACTTATTATAACAGCTGATAAGTGGGTGGTTGTTTAAATTCAACATAAAACGGTGAATTGTCGTTTTTGAAGTAAAATTCTTTACGCACGCTTGACTTGGGGAGTCAACTGGCGAACGCGTTACGAAAAGTGTGATCGGGTGAGACGAACGGGAGTTGAGTGGAGGATATAAGCAAGAGAGAGCAGTGCGCGCGCACATTTTCTTTCTCTCTTTCTCTTATAGCTAGTAAATGAAATATTTATATGTATATACATGTATATATTGTACACACATATATATATATATATATATATATCGCCTTATGCGAGATTTTGTAAAATTTTGAACGGTTTTAGTCATAACATTGATTTACACTTTGATAGTCCCAGTACAATAACATCAGCCATTAGTAGGAACTTGACGGACTGAGTGCCCGAGAAGTTTATTTTTGATTTTAGATCCTTTGTTTTTGTAATGACCCTTTTTTGGACAAAATAACATATAAGTTAAGGTATATTAGGTAAAATTTTAACACAAACTGTTTGAAATAGATATGGTATAAGTGGTGTTTACCTATAATTATTTGTAACACTGATATAAGTGTCTCCGTGTGTGTAATTGTAATTGCTTAAATGTTACAATTGTTGGTAAGCCTTTTAATAAATAAATATATATATATACTATATATATAGGACAGATGGAGCTAAACAAGTTTCCTTTTAGTCGTGTGGTCATAAGCACACTCGTTTTTTTTATTTATTGGTACCTACCTAATAATAATAAAATTTAAATACTTTAGTTATTATTGGTTTATATTACCGTTCTCCTTGTTTTTTTTTTCTAGATGGGTCCGACAAATAACTCCACCCCACCTGATATTAAGTGACGGTGAAGTCCAGAGGCGACGTGTTTCATTCTCAACAATAAATGAAATATACGCGTGCTATGCCAACACCATGTTTTTTTTGCACGAGCCAAATCGACGAGATAATCTCATGTATGAAAATTTAAAAAAATACATGAGATTATCTTCTGTACTATCGATTTTCTACTTTTTCGGGCGCAGACATGTAATTGCATGAATATCAAATTGACGGGTTCATTTACGTTTTCGTCCTTACTTATAAATGTGAAATTGAGAGATCTCTGATTTTCGCTTTCGCAGATTATATTAATAATTGTCTCCATTATTAAAATATTCTTTACCATGTACATTTATAGGTGTGTACGTACTCTTAAATAGCCTACTTCATTTGGCACACCTACGCAGGTATTATTTAATATATGGTACGTTTGCGCTACGAATATATCTTTTATTCTAACGTTATAAGATGGATTGTTCTGTAAAAAATGTATCCACAAATGTGGTGTCGACTGTACTCACTCTCTTGGTAAATGAAGTTCTTCGCTTCAAAGATTAAATTCTAAGATGAAGAAGATAAGCCCGAATCATAATAAATGCTCAAGTTCCAAGTAAATTAGATAGAATGGCTTTGATTTATTTCACACCCATTTATTATCAAGGGATTACTTTTCCAGTGAATTGAATTCATGATTAATAAACAGAATGGAGTATATAAAATTATGGGTAATTAATTAAGTGTGATAAACCTATTGCGAATACCACCTATATGTTTAATTAAAAAGGCATTTTTATTTTTTTATTAATTGCATTGAAAGAATGGACATTACACTCCCTTGCAGCGGACGGGTTCGAACCCGCACCCTTCGCAATCCGGGCGAATGCACTGACCAAATTTTCCTAGCCTTAAGCTGCAAGGCAGCGCCATCTCTTCGCATTGCAGGTAACCCACAAAGTCAAATGAATACTTTTTCAAGTACCTATTGAAACATTTGAAAGAAGAAATAGCATTTTTTTTTCAATATTTTTTTCTAGTAAAACTTTTCTTTAGATTTAAACTATTAGCAGTTAAATGCTCAAAAAAATAAAAACATAATTACACACCCTTTTTAAAGATTTTTTATAAGTTTTTACTAAAATCAAATAGGTATTTCTTGTAATATCAGCATTGAACGTGAACTTCGCTAGCTTATAGGATACTAGTAATTGTCTAAACCTGAGGATTGAGGCACTTCGCATCTGAAATACAGGATGAAAATCCTAGTTCGGCAGCAGATGCTACAGATTGTCTTTTATATTCTTAAGCTTATAAATGGTGTCTATAGTTTGTAAGACATAAATTTACTAACATATGCTAGTCTAAATAAAGATTATTATTATTTAAATTATTATAACACACACTATATCTCACATATACACACAAACACATAGACACTCACACACACATACACACACACACACACACATTAATCAATAACGTTTTTGTAATCATCCGGTGTCTCGAATCGAACCACTGCCTTTCATAATACAGGTCTTGCCTAGCATGAAAGTCAGGGGTCCTACTTATAAGACTATAAGTCAATTACAATTTGTAGAACTGTTTATTTTTAAATAATAATATTAGTAAAAATATCTATTCTAGACGTTCAACTTTGATCCAAATATGATTTGGCCGATGTCCTTTCCGTCATCGCATTGTGATGCTCCTGGTAAATAGGTGATCGCTTGGTCGATTGTAAATCACACCCAGAGTATTCTTTAAAAAAATATTCAATGTACAGTTTTGACTTTCTTAACATTTTATTATATGTATAGATTAGGCAGTAGGATATCTCCTCATTAATAAACGAGGAATAAGCTCAGACTAGTTATGTTTCATATCACTTAAATGCCATTTGGAATTTAATGAACGAGACTACACATGTAGTAACTAATTCAAGTTTATTCTTCTTTTTTAAAAAGGGGGAAAAAGTTTAACAATTGGTGTCCTGACAACCAATATTTAATTCTTGCAGTATTAACCCTAATAACATATAGGTAGGTGTCACGTCTTTATGCAGATTATGTATTCATGACATTCATATATCATTATGGTTTCTTCGGTATTCACATGGACAAATAAAACAAAAACAAGTGTTTCATACACTTTATTGCTTCACGGATATTATTCTCCATAAAATCTCAAACAACCACGATTAATAACGACGAAACGAGCGGCGCACTCCGAGCCAGGGGAACTCTGAACGTCCTAAATCAAGGTTTCAGATAATTTCGAAGCACTTTGACTATGATTGCTTAGCATTTATGTCCAATATGAGAAACTATGGCTTCTGTTTAGAAAATATAATATAAGTTAAATTATATTCAATAAAATATTCGAAATTATTAGAACTTTTGGTTACAGTCGTTCAGAGTAAACCCTCAGAGGCGCCCGTAGACTATACGAGGCACTGAGAGACAGGAATCACAGATTGACAGAGCTTAGATAAGATAGACGGACATCAATAGAGGAAGCTGGAGGGGGGCGGACGCGGGGAGGGCGCGGGGCGCGCAAGTCGCGGGTGGAAGGCTCCGAGTGCCGCCTCGTTGGTGGACGAGGGTCGCTCCTCTCGCACTCTTAGCTGAGGTAAACGCCACGCGGCACACGCCGACGTCAACGCGTGCCGATTCAACACCCAGTATGCCACTGCGTTCAAGGCGGAGTGCGCGTAGCCTAACAGCAACGTGTACTGCACTAACACCAACGGAGCGTCCAACCCGAAAGCTCTCGATATAACTAAAGCCGCGTGGGGACACCAGCACACGGCGAAAACGGCAGCGATGCCTATGAGGACGTTGCCGAGGCGGCGTCGCGAGCGGAGCGTTGACGTCTGAGGTTGAGGACCAAGGAGGCTGGGTTGGAGTTTCTTCTTAGCTCGCGCGTCGCCTACGTCGACGGCGTCACGTCGCTCACGTGGTCCTACGCCGGCGACGATGATGACGTGCGTGGGGCGGCGCATCAGCGGCACGGGTAGAGGCAGCTCGCCGTGTGCAGCTCGCGCTGTCAGCGACAGCGCTGTGAGCTTCACCCGTACCGTCCAATGACAGCGAGTCACTACCGCTACTGGTACACAGTATGTGAGCAAAGCGTGCGCCGCTGCAAGCGGTGGACATGACACGCATGTTGTCACGACTGCTGCTGCACCTGAATAGAATGGATTAGTTTAATAATATTAATAAGTAAAGGCCCTAGCATAACTTGATCAATTTCATTAGATAGATATACTACACTGTGGGACTACTATAAGCTAACACCATAAATTACATTGTAAGGTCTAAATGTTTTCTTCACTCCTATCATAAAAAAGCAAAGTCTACCACTGGAAAATATCTTCAGCATTAATGAATATAATAATATAAACTATTAATCCTCCACTGCTGTGGATGGATGGAACAGGGAGACTAGGCCGTGATCCAGCACGCGTGCCCAGTGCGGATTGGTGGGCGCTAATGAATGCTGATGCAGCCGACACCAACGGCTTAACGTGCCTTTCGAAGCACAGATGAGCTTGAAATAATAAGGTTTTGGTCATCTTACCAATGGTCAAACACTGCGGAAGTTGCTTAACTTCAACGATCGCAGCCGAACGCGCTCACCATTAAGCTTCTATAATTAGATAAATTAGGGAAATAATTAGATGAAGGGAATTTACCTAATAGAAAAGCACTGGCCCACACAGCGAGCACGGCGATGGGAGGCCGGGCGCACCACGAGGTGCCGCGCCCACGCCGCACCGCACCACACCGGTCCACTGCGATCGCCACCAGCGACAGGGTGCTGGCAGCCACCGGTAATGACTGTAACACAAGTGGATTACTAAGTTACCCGTTAAATAATACCGTCTAATGTGAAGTGAGTGCAGTCCAACACATTATAAAGATACGTGGGAAAAGATCACGACTTTCTAAACATTATAACTCTTAGGTTCGGTATCTTTATTTAGTTTCTTTAATGCAATTTAACCTAACCAACGTAATGTCTTAACTATGAAAACCTTAACAAACAAGTAGACCTGATTTTAAAACGAATGTACTTAGTCTACACAAACTTAGGTGCAGCAGAGATGTTTGGTTTGCACCAGATCTCTGGCCCTATAAATATTTCAACCCCATAGAGAGGTACACAAAATGGTTACCGTATGCTGAAAAATTATGAATTATTTACATCTTAAGTACTATAATGTAAAATGTCACGTGTTAAAGTACCGAGGGTACTGGAAACGTATGAGGCCGCTAGTAGCGTGAGGATCACGTTCACTAAAAGATAGGACAGCTACGCTGAGTAGCGACGTCTTTGGCGTGGTACTGGAAAACGTATGAGGCCGCTAGTAGCGTGGGGATCACGGTCACTAAAAGATAGGTCAGCTACGCTGAGTAGCGACGTCTTTGGCGTGGTACTGGAAAACGTATAGGGCCGCTAGTAGCGTGGGGATCACGCTCACTAAAAAATAGGTCAGTTACGCTGAGTAGCGACGTCTTTGGCGTGGTACTGAAAAACGTATGGGGCCACTAGTAGCGTGGGGATCACGCTCACTAAAAGTTAGGTCGGCTACGCTGAATAGCGACGTCTTTGGCGTGGTACTGGAAAACGTATGGGGCCGGTAGTAGCGTTGGGATCACGCGCACTAAAAGATAGGTCAGCTACGCTTAGAAGCGACGTCTTTGGCGTGGTACTGGAAAACGTATGGGACCGCTAGTAGTGAGGGGATCACGCTCACTAAAAAATAGGTCAGCTACGCTGAGTAGCGACGTCTTTGGCGTGATACTGGAAAACGTATGGGGCCGCTAGTAGCGTGGGGATCACGCGCACTAAAAGATAGGTCGGCTACGCTGAATAGCGACGTCTTTGGCGTGGTACTGGAAAACGTATGGGGCCGGTAGTAGCGTGGGGATCACACTCACTACAAGATAGCTTTGGCGTGCCTTCACGTTGACCCTAGGATACTTCTAAAGTTCTAACACAAGGTTATCTTACTTCAATATAAAATGTGATGTGGCAGGGTAGCTGGTGGATTCTGGCAGCGCGTGTGGCTGCTAGGGGGGCACTGGCCGCGCACACCAGCAGGTCAGCTGCGCACGCGCTGAGCAGCTGCGGCGTACGGAGCCGTGACGCTCCACCCGACGCCAGCGCCGCCATCAAACTCACGTTACCTTGCAAAATGAAAATTTTAAATTTCATGTATTTCAAGTGCACGCTAGGCCTGGATAGTGGATATTCCGCCACATTGAGTACCAATTGAAGAAACTTATAAAACGTTCATCATTATTCTCATCAGCCCATCAATACATCCTCTACTAGGGCATCATATCATTTGGGCCTTGGGCGGTTTAGTGAGTGCTAATAAGACAGGTCCAACGGCTTCCGTTCCGAAGTACGATGGAGAGAAAACTGCTTAACTGGGCCATCGAGTTTCTCTGGGAATAAGATTATTTCCCAATATCACTATTTCGTCCATAGGGAAGACCTCTGCAGTTGGAACATTAAGGGCGTGTTCAGATGATCCGCGCTGACCACGCACGCGCCATGTTTTTTCTATTGTGGGGCGTACCTCTCATTAAAACGAAACGCGGGTGTAAGGCATATGCATTGGTTGCCTACAATTTTGTCTTAAGACACAATAGATCTCAAATTATCTGGAAGTATCCCATCAGTATATAGTGTATCAGCCTCGAAAGTCGAAAGTGGTTGGTGGTGGTGGTTGACATCTAAATCACCACTTTTTATGTTAGTCACGTCCACATAATTTGAGTTAACCTACAAAAGCACCAATTCGTCCAAACTAAACAAAAAAAATGCGTAGAGTGTGCGGCTTTTTTTTTGACTGTGTATATGCTGTTGGTCGTAGATGATCTTTACAGCGTCACCGGGTTTGGGGACGGCGAGATCCTAAGGGGACCTCAAGCCGAGAATTGGCGAGTGCCTCTGGAGGTATTCCAGTCGGATGGCGTCTCCCCACGGGGGGAGTCTCCTCTCCACTCGAACCTGAGGGGGTCGGCTCAACTAGAGGGCGTCTCTGAGACTCGGACCTCGGTTCTAGTTAGCCGTTGTCGTGGGGGGCGGAGAAAAACCCCCAGGTACGTACTTGTACCTGGTATAGCGTGTCGTGTGTAGACCGGGTCTTCGGTCTTCGGTCTCACGTTTGCTAGCTGTGTAGTGTTGGTGTTTGTGGCCTGTGTGGGAGGAATCGGAGGCGCGTTGGCGCGTGTGATTTCGTCGTCGAGGTAGTCTAAGACGTGCCTAGGCCTACGATTGGAGGACGGGAGCAGTGTTGCCAACACGGATTTTGAAAAAGGCGTAGGCCCGATGAGAAAATTACGTAGAATTAGTAAATTTTGCATATGAAAAGTACGTAGATCTACGTACTATTTTCTGAGTGAAATGAAGAAGTTAGGTGAAACCGAATGAAACGAGTATTTTGTTATACAATTTCTGTAAAAACGGGAGATAGAACAAAGAGTTCTTGGAGTAATATGCATTGGAAGCATTAACCATGCTGTGGTGGTAGACATTTACCATCAGACACAGACACTGGTGGGTGTCGATTCTGGCGTGATTCTCTAAATTTAAAACTAAATTTAACATCAGTCTCTCCTTTTCATTCTGAATTGAGAATGACAAGGATACACTGTTGTTCAATAGGCTAGTTGACACTTTTTGGAATTATATTTTAAATTGTTAATAATTGTTCTATCAGACCGAAAAAAATGATTTTTTTTTTACCTAGAAAGCTACTAAACATTAATTTTAAAATAGATTTTGCATGGACATACACTTATCTATGCTATGACGTCAAAACATTTGTAAACCAACACTCGCAAGCACGTAGGAAATAAACTTTCTGAGTTAATATTATAAAACCATGATCACATGAAAAATATAGTAGTTATCATGATACACTTGGTAAAAGACTCTAGAAAAGTTGTGGTTTAAATTGCCAAGAGAAATAAACATACTTACACATGAACATATGTTTAAAACTTGCTACATCCTGTAATTTTATCGACTGAAAGTCATTTCTTTTTGCAAAGATCAATTCGATGTAAGTACTCATTGAATAATATTTAAAGTTTAAAAATTCAACATTAAAGGTTATGAATGTACCTACTAAGTCAAAGAGTTTTGTCGTTTCTCCTTTCACAAATCCTGCGTCCAGCATTAATTTAGTCAACAAAACCACTAACGAGAACCTTTTCTACAAGATACAAGAGTTTTTAGATACATCTTTATAAGAAATAAACATTTGTATAGTTTTTCAGTAAAGTAACGGAAAATATTCTTCTTTATTCTAGTGAATTAAGATATTTTACAAATTTGAAAAAAATAAAGAAAATACGCAGATTCTGGGCCTGAAGTTAGTAGGTTTGCAGAAAAGGCCTAAAATACGTAGATCTACGTAAAAAGACGTAGAGTTGGCAACACTGGACGGGAGGGCGGACGTATAATAACTACTCGCTTTTACTACTAAGGGATTCGGGTGATGCGCGGCTTTATCGAAGTAACGCCTCGAGGCGTCCTTCATATACTTCGCGACAGAGTCTAATTTGAGGTCGCGATGCAAATCGATGTTGCGCACGTACCACGGCCAACTCGTGGCACCGCGCAACACACGATTTTGCAGCGTTTGGAGTGGTTTAAGACGCGACGGAGGTACGTGGGCGAAGCAAACACTCGCGTAGGTCATGATAGGGCGGATGCAAGTTTTGTCTAAGTGTCTTTGTCTTATGCCTAAGTGACAACTTACTACGCTTCCCTATGAGGTGGAATAGCCTGCCGCGAATGAATGCTGCGCGATCGCGAATTATCTTGAGATGAGGAGCAAACGTTAATCGGTTGTCTAACGTAACACCCAAGTACTTGACCCGGTCCTCCTAGGGGATGACCCGGTCAAATAGTTGGATGCTCGGAAGAGAACGCGTGGGAGGTGGTGTCGTGCTAAAGAGGATTGCGACGCTTTTCTCCGGATTGACCTCGATACGCCATCTACGGAACCAATCGCCAAGGGTGGTAGCGGTTGATTGAAGTTCAGACTGTTCCGGGACGTCTGTCGGAGGTATAGAGGGGGGTGTCGTCGGCGAAAAGCGCGAGATCGGCCTTAGGAGTTTTGGGCATGTCGTTCGTAAAGACCGAGTAGAGGATAGGCGAGAGTGGTGAGCCCTGAGGGACTCCGGCGCGTATTGGACGAGGCGAAGAGAGCGTTCCTTCGACGCGCTAGCGAAACGAGCGATTCGACAAAAAGTACCCTATGATGAGCACGAGTCTATCCGGCACACCGAGTTTGTATAGCTTATAAATTAAGCCATTGTGCCAGACTTTGTCAAATGCTTTCGCCACGTCGAAGAAAAGCGCACCTGTGGGAATCGCGGAGGCTCGATATAGATCGCGGTAATGGAAGATGTGCTCTGTTAGGTGGTGCACCTGGTGGACACACGAGTGTTTGGGACGGAAACCCAACTGTTCGTTCATAATGAGGTTGTTCGCGAAGAGAAAATCTTTAAGGCGGCTAGCGAGGGCGCGTTCGTAGTGTTTCCCCAGTGTTTTGAGGAGACTAATAGGGCGGTAGCTAGAGGGTAAGGCGCCGTCCTTGCCGGGTAGCGTGTGCGGTGGTTGGCGTGTGCGTGGCATATGCAAAGCGTGCGCGGTTTAATTCGATATGTGGACTTACCAATGATACCTATGACTGAGACGAGTATGTAGAGTGCGAGGAGGGCGGCGAGCGCGTGCGTGTCCTCGCCCGCCGCCCCCCGCACTCCCGCCGCCGCTGCGCTCGCGTTACCATACATCACACCGCATCTCTTTCATCTGCGAACAAATGACGACTGTTAAAGAAGGACTGGCTAATTACCTTGAAAATTCGAGCTTAACAGCAAACGGAAAATTCCACCAATAGCTGCGTGCAAAATTCACATAAAATTCCACTAATAGCTGCGAGCAAGACTATCCTATTGGTGGGTATTGTGGATATTCCGTTATTCTATTGGTGGTTTTGACATCACTCGTCACTTAGCTGTCTCGCATAGCTCTAGTGGCAACTTTATCGGTCCAGAACATTCCGAGCAAATCGACTGTGATAGACAGACGGAGAACTGAGTGATCCCATATGGGTCCCGTTTTTTCGATCGAAGTATAGAACCTTAAAAAATGAATTCTCTAAGAAAGCTCCAAAACTCATTGTAAATTATTTGTAGCCTGTGGTTTTTCGCAAACATTTTCCAATTAAACAGCCAAACAGTTTCAGAATAAGAAATGGTAAGCCGCATAGCCATTAATCATGAGATGAGATGAATAAGTTATTATTACACATCTGCCTATGACTACCAAATAATAGTAGAAAATAATGATTTATTAATACCTAAAAAGAGAGAAGAAAATCTTGATATATATATGCAACTGAAAATTAGTTTTATAAAAAAAAATACTTTAATTTGAGATGGAGTTTTCTACTTCTAAATAATTCAGTAGCATTTGACAACAGTGTATCTCTGTCATTCTCTGTACAGAATGAAAAGGAGAGATTAATGTTAAATTTAGTATTAAGTTTAGATAATCATGCCAGAATCGACACCAATGTATTAAATAATTTTTAAACGTACGAAAATGAACCTGACATTAATGAACGTATCAAAGTTCTTCTAGTATTTCTTAGATTGTAAAGCAGCGCCATAACTGTAAATGCATCCGCCCGGACAGCGTAAGACGCAAGTTCGAGTCCTGCCTAAAACCTTAGCCGAGTTGATCTTTTTCCAGTAAAAAAATCTGATCATTTATATATCGTACAGATTTATTCTTAAAATATGTAATATAATAAGCTATTTGTGTGTTTGTTTGCATTTATTTTATAAAATTATACATTCCAAAATATTTGGCAGGTATTTATTTAATAATATATATTTTAAAGTATTTACCTGCAGGATTTATAAATCTATAGATAATATGAATGAATACCGAAAGCACCTTCCACTATCTTCTACTATGTCGGGACCGCGTGCTTTTTTTTAGTAATATTTTCTATAACAATTTATTTCTAATAATGTGTAGGCATTTTTGCAGCTCATGGTGACGCAACTTGGATGCTTTGCCAAGAATACTAAAGAAGTAGGTACAGCGTGACGATAAGAATTAAAAATGCCATGATTCCTTTGCCTTAACGTGGTGCCTAACCACCAAAAATACATTTGAATGCGTTGTTTCCGCATCTCAATGAATATCTACATCCTTGAAAAAGAAACGAAAAAAAAAGAAAAAACTTGGAACTGACAACGGTGGGTACCTTAAACAAAAGGAGTTGTCGTGTAGCGACAAAATAAAACTAGATAGAAAAAAAAGGAAAATCAAAAGAACAGTATAGGATATATATATTTACAAGATAAAGTATTTACGGATTAAGAATAAAAAAAAGGTATGGTGTGTGTGTTAAGTGTGGGGTGTAAAGTGGAGGTGGTGAAGTGGGCGTGGGTTGTCGGCGATCTTCTTCGTTGAGAATAGAGGGTCTGGAGGACGTGCTGCTAGCAGACGGGCGGCACTCCTAGGAGGCAGAAGCGCTCCTGTTCAGCCGTCTCAGGTCTTGGCTTGCCCTGGTGGTGGCTGGCGGCGCTGCTGGTAGGTTGGCCGGCGAATATCGGCCAGTGGCAGGAGTTCATGGAACGGCAGGAGTCGGTAGAAGGCGGGCTGAAGCAGTTGGTGGCTGGCCGAAGAAGCTGGAGTCCAGGCGGCAGTCCCACCGATGAGGTTGCGAGTACGTGAAGATGACGAGAAGAGTAGTAGAGTAGTAGAGTTAAGTAGTTGTTTAGAGAGCCAATAAGTGCTATATAGCTTTGAGGTCTTTCTTGAGTCCCGGGGCAGTCGGCCCCGGGACAAGGCCTTTTATTAATTTAGAGCTCGGTAGCGAGCTATCAAAAGTTGAGTAGGCAACTTTTGCCGTAGAAATGAATGATCAGGGAGGCTCGGCCTTTTATAGGTCCAGGACCATTTAAATTTAGACACGGTTCGAATCGAGCCAAAAAGAATCAAAGTAGGTGGTCTGTGGAGTTTGAATAGTCATAGACGTAGTTGGAGAGAGTATCCGTGTCATGGGTAGCCATGACAACGGATAAAAAACATTAAGTTGTCATAAATGTCAATAAAATAAATAAACTAAAAATAGATAAAATCGGAGCAAAATTAATGAAAACAAAATAAATAACAGAATATAGAGAAATGCCGGTAAGTGTCCAGCACTCTGGAATAGTGATTTTTAGTACAGGTGGAATTATTATACGTATTGACAAAATGATGAATAGTGTGTGATATTTTTGAAATTATGTGTTTCCAGGAATACATAATAAAATATATGTTGATGCCTGATGAACATCGATGATGTTATATGATAAAATGTGCGAAATGGAACCTATGATAGTCGAAACCATGGGACGATCCCTGAGGTACGTTACAGAGTGTTGATAGAAAATAACAACAACAAAAGAATGATTTGAAACAAGAATCCATAAGTATAATTTATAAATGCCATAAATTCCGTGAGAGCTCTTTTCTTATAGTTTAGAAAACTACCTGATTTTTATTCAAGAAATTATCCTAGCATTAATGTAAGTTATCATTACCAATGATACGCATCATTTGAATTAAGTGCATTAAAAGATGTAAAGAGAGAGAGAAAGTTGCCTACACACTGCGAATAGTAGTGCCTACGACAAATATTTTAATGTGACAGGACAATTTTTTGCAAAAAAAAACTGAGTGTCTCCATTTGGCGAAAACATTAAAGTGATTTAATTTAAGTTCCACTATGTGTACACGCGTTAAAATCTTGACGTGTCCAGAGGCCCAAACGTGAATTTTGATAGCTCCTTAATAGTATTGTCAAATTTTGTATGGTAAAAACTAGTTTTTTCTTTAGTAACTTTGATGATGCGATTCAAATACGGAGTAGTCGACATTCGTGCTTAAGGCCTCTGATGTCGAAACAATATGTGATACTAATTTTTACTTTCACCAAATGAACACACATTCGAACCTGTGACGCTAGATTGGTTATAACTTTTGACACTTTTAATTAAGAAACTTTGTGTAACTGATTTTAATGTGTTTGTCATAAATTTCTGTATGAAATTAATATCACACTTAAGTCTCTAAAGTAAATCATTTACCAACAATTAATTAACAAATCTAGCTTACAGTTGGCTGATAGGGATACTTTCCAGATTAATTAATTAATTTAAATAGGCTTGAAAGGTATTATGCGCAAGTTAATTGTTTTGTGTTCATAATTCATTGATATTTAACAATTTCGTGCCATCGCATAAGCTGGACGAAAATATAAATTTTCATTAATTATAAATAACATTGAATTACACTCGAAGAGCAATGAACAGAAGTCTCTGCCTATATTTTGGAATTATGAAATATTTGGGTATGAATAACCGGATTTATTGCTCGTGAGTATAATAAATCTTCTATATTATAAAAGAATCATTGATTTGCGGGCAAAATGAGTCAAATTGTTACTATAGTTTTGAATGAATACATTCGAGATAATTATGCCTCTATTAAAAACATACTGGGCAGGGGGATAAAAAATATATATTCTTTACCTATAAAATTGCCGTTTTACATGAAATAAGTTAACGCCCTTTTATCTATATTTTTTGATTTTTATTAATCAAACTAATTACCCATGCAAACAATGCATTTTTTCTAACGTAGTGGTAGCATATTGATGCCCTATTTGAAAAAGTCTGCTGGACGGGAGGCAACGAATTCTTCAAAGGCATTTTGAACTGCCTCTCGGTTATTGAATTCTTTCCCCGCTAAGAAGTTATCCAAATTCTGGAAAAAGTAGAAATCTGTAGGGGCAAGGTCTGGTGAGTATGGTGGTAGACGGAGAATTTCCAACCCCAGCTCTTGTAATTTGGATATCATCTACTTTTTTTTGTATTATTTCTTAATGTCTACAGACTCTTGGTCCGTACCTGTTTTGTGTTACATTCATTTCTTTTCTTGTTTTATATAATGTGTCTGTAGAAGTACTCGAAAACAACAAACCTATTTCTTATAACATGGAAGATTAAATTCTATGCTACTTATGCTCTAAAATTCTTATATCTACCCTCGCTTACTTCTAGTACTACGAGACCAACTACTGCGCAGTCGCGCGTTGTCGTGCAGGATCAGCTGAGCCGAAGAATTGACCAAAGCTGGTTTAAAAAAAAATGACCACATCTCCAATGTGCGAGCTTCTCCATGATTGTCAAAAAAAGACGAAAATTCTTAATTCAAATTGGAAAGGGGTGCTGCCAGCGGAGATGAGTCTGCCCTAACTACTTTGATATTTAAGATGTAAATGTTTAATTACACCTATTATAGATAAGTCTATTTGTATTTATACTGTGTGACACAGCAATCAAAATGCAGGTGAACAATTAATGTATAATTTCACATTATGTAATGAAAGGTGACTTCATGAATCATCTCTGAAGTCATTTTTTAACTTGACGACTCTGTAAATGATAAAACAGGGAGAAAAAAACAGCCCTTGGTAAGTTTCTTGCCGGTTCTTCTTAGTATAAGGTCTCCCGCCGTAGATTTACGAACCGATGGCGTAGCTTCTAGACATTCATATCTGCTTGTAACAGCCTAAACTGAATAAATGATTATGATTATGATGCACAATAAAACGCTTTTGAATCGTCCATTTTTTTCCTTACTACTAAATATTTATAGCCAAGTGAAGTTTTGCCATTATGCATGTTCAAGTTTTCGCGTGTAACTGTTTCTCTGTAGACGGAATAAATTTGAAAAAACGTCCG